AATCTTTTAATCGGGTACACATACGTTTACCTGCCACCTGTTCTCAGCGACCAGTAGAACACAGACAAACGTGTGCGCGTGCTAACACGAGATTGGAGTTCAAACTAGTACTCTAGAAACGGATGAATTCCTCTATTGATCTTCTGACACCATGGTTTGTAGCAATATGATCTGAGTCCATCGTTGGTTTGATGTTGGTGGACACCATGTGAGACAGTTTCTCTTTTTATGGTTAAAGTTAGTGTTGACGAGAAACAAGTGTTTGTGAGATTAAAACTACAACAGACGACTACCGTTGCCGGTTAGTTGCCAAGGAGTCCCATAGATACCCCCCGAGATGCCACTCCTGCTGGACTAGTTTTCCTACTCGGGCGTCAAAGTCACCTGCCATTACAACTACATCCAAACGTTTTGCTTTACGTAGCAAAGTCGACAGCTTTCCATAGAATTAATTCTTTGCATCATCCGAACTAAAGTCGGTGGGTGCGTAGGCGGATTATGAAGAAGCATCACCTAGTCTCACAACCTTTCCTAGTCCTTGTACATACATTTAGTCGAACAGCACATAGATGGCTGTTTACTGGAATCCAGTCGAGGAGTGCACTTTCCTCTCTACAACGCAGTGCTATGCCTACAACAGCGAGTCCATGAGAGCAAGCCAATGGGTCTTCGGATACTCTTAAGGTGAACTTTGAACATTTACTACTATGGCCAGGTAAGGTCAATTTAATAACAAAACTCGGGTCCCCAGTACGTGTCTCTGAGATACAGCCTACATCTATGGCTGGAGATTCCAGAGTTTTGACGAGCGGTGCTTGCTGTCCTATTTGGTATAGTTTGGACGTTGGAAGCTCCTACATGAAATCGATAGCGAAATCCTGGGAAACTGTGAATGAGGTTTCGATAGCTTTGGTCGTTGGCAATGGTCTAAGAGCAAGTTGTAAGAGGCTTAATATTGGTATCAGGAGGTGAAGGCAAAGGAGAAGAAGGAATTGAGAAGGACAGGTTATGTTTCATTAGGTGTTGAATACCACTGAAAGCGAGTGGGCGGTTGACACTTCCCAGCTGCAAATACCGTGGAAGGCTATTTCTTCTTAAAGTACTTGAAGGCAAAAAATAATCGTGTGACCGCAGAGCCCAAGGGTCAATTGCCTGAAACCTGTCACACACAGCCTTTTAGGGATTGTTGGTATGAGATTTCACTGTCCTAATGCCGGATAGGAAAATCCCATACCGCCGTCATCGGAAAACTGTGGGGCAGAGAAGGGTGTGCTATTTTTGAGGTGGATCGTTTCTAATCCCCTCACCTTCCCGTAGGGAAAACAGCATCAGCATGATACTGATGGCCATCCACCTTGCTGCTGTCACATACCCGTGCAGTCAGCAGTATGACTTCGCCCTCAGACCTTGTCATAGAGTGCCAATTTATTCTACAAGGGTAACTGGTTTTCATCTTACTACTATCCAAAGGACCTTATGGTATAGTAGAATGTCAAGGGAACAAGCGTCTTACCTACTGTAACTCGTTGAGTCATTGTTATATACATCAGGGTAGAAGCTATTGGTCAGCAAACATTCCAAGTTGTTTGAATAGTTAAACCTTTATTTCTGTTGACTGTATTAAGATTGGAAGTAATGTGAAATGCTCCAGCTATCTGTCTTTCCTTGTAGTTTCAAAACTGTTTTTAAATAATCTTCATATTTTCAATGTCAATTTTTCAGCTATGAAATATGATATGAACATCCATTGCAGACATAACTTGCCAATTCTCCAAAACTGTTTAGAGGTCGTTCTGTGTAGCTCCCGTGCCCTTTAGCACGAATTAAGGTTTTAGCGGGATGATTCCCCAACGTAATAGACATCACAATCGACAGAGTGTAACCTATAGACACAATTATTTATGAAGATACTTCTACATGAATTAAAGCATTCCTATGAGTGTTGGCTGTCTTATGGAAGGCTTTAATTTAGAATTCTCTTGAAATCCATTTTAATTCTTTAGTTGTACCTTGACGAAAAAGCAGAACTTGTGTTTAAATCTTTGACTCATCAACTAACCATTTTTGAAGGATCATTATGCTAGTGGCTTTACATCTTCTGAATGATATTCCCAGTGTAATTAGTTATTTTTTTTCCCTTCCGTTTGAGAAAGTTTGGCAAAGAGTGGATGTGCTGAGTTGAAATCAAGATATCGATTAATTTTTCTATCTCATTGGGATTTTACAAATATATTCTCTTTGTAAATCATCTATCTAAAGCTCAATTTATTCAAGTCTATGAGGTCAAACTTTGGTCCTGAAGTTTGCAAAATGAAAAAGTGGTCATAAACTTTCCTATTCATTTTAATCATAAGCATTTGGCAGTGTTTGTAATCGAAATATTACATCTATTTGGTTGATAAAGTTAAGAAACTAATACCGAATCACCAAGTAATTCCAATGACATTAAAAATTCTACGTATAAACGACATGCAGTCTGTTGATAGTGTGATAAATGACATTTATTTTGACAGTCCAGTAATCTGAACGTGCGTGAAGAACAAGATGGTGTATTACACACACAAATTTATCTGTTTCTGTGATACTATTCACAGCAATCCCCCCGCCATCACGATAAGTGTAAGAAATTATCTATCTAATCACTCACTATCAAAACAATTTTAGTAATGATAAGTAAAAATATGCATGAAGTTTTAAAAGGATTATTTTAACAGCTGGAATACTGTAGAGGTTAACTCACCTAAATTTTATGGGAAATAACAAATACCACACTTTTCTTGCTCTTGTTTTGTTCAGAAGATCACCCTTAAAGTCAGTACGGTTTTTGTTTTACTGGAACCATGGTTTGTTTTTTACACTGTATAACACCCCAAAATGTCAGGTATCACCTTAAAACCAATCATTCATTTTTATTTTTATTCCAATACAAGCCTTTTTCCAATTGGTAACTTTTGGGGATAAACTGATTTCAAAGAAGTCTTTGTTATGGATTGATATTTGTAGAATAAACATTGAAAACTCGGAAGGACTGTGATTTTTTTCATCTTACTGCTTCTGATCAATCAACCCCCACAAACTACGTAATGAGTCATTAAATAGTGCTCAACCCCTACTTTCTTCGAGATGAATTTCTAGAGGCTCAGATGAGAAGCCATGACCTATAGGGCCTGAGGAAAGGTACCCGTCACGGAATTGGGTGACGGTTTCAGAATATCGCGAATTGACCTGTGATTGGATTCCAGCCCAATAGTTGCATGACAACATGGTTACTGCGCAATCTGATAATCCTAGACTTGGTCCTTGACAAAGTCATCGGTGAGTACTGTTTAGGAATCCCAAATTAAAATGAAACAGCTGTTCAGTACTATCAGGTTTCCAATGGTTCTCAGAATAATAATTATTGTTATTATAATACGAAGTGAAAACTTTGAAAACAACCCTTCATTTACAACTACAATACCCATATTAAGCTTCTGACCACAACAAAAGTGTAATTACACTTTTCATGAAGTCAAAAAAACATTGTTCAACTGAAATAAAAACTGAACTTATATTACGACCCAATGGTAGACTACTACAGCACGTTTCTAAACCGAACGGATGACAGTAACATGAAAGCCAAACTATATTAATATATCAGCTATTTTTGAAGGCTTTCTAAGTAAGTCACCGAAAAAATCAGAGAAGAAACATACTCAAGTTTATGAGATATTCAACAATAATAGTGCTCATGGCAATCATACAACACAATGAGTTTATGAACCCTATGTACTGTGTGTGAGTTTAACATAATACCCTATCACCCAGGTTGAAGTTAGTGGAGTGACTTTCAAAACTAAGACCCTTTGTCTGAAATTTAGTTTCCTAAACCGACTAACCACTTCTCTGGTAGTTGCAGTTGAAAAAATCAAAGTATTTACAAAAGTATCCGTAGTAACCTTGATAAGCAACCACCAAGGAAGAAAATATCGAGAAGCAAAATTGAGATCTCGAATGTTTTTTCGAAAAATATCACTGAATGATTTCAAATCTAAATATCAGTGAGTCTACTTCGAATTTCTAGGAATTATTACAAATGGCATTCCACAACCCTTTTGTTTCAGTATGAAATCCAAGGTCCTCACAATCTACATTGGTAATTCTTGATTTAAATAAACATTGCTGAAACAAAAATATTACTTGTATATTATCCGAAGATACAGTAAATTTCACTACAACTATAGGAGGCTAAATTTTTTATTGTAAAGACTCTAAATTCGAATACACTGCCAAATTTTCTATTCCCTTATTCGATTATCGTTTGGATAGTACAACAACCAGTACCTGTAACACATTCTATGAGAAAAACAATATTCAGTACGATATGAAGTTTCACTGGCATTACTTTCTACTCATAGGATGAGCACAATATACATGAAAGGTTTTCAGTATGCTTTCGCTGAATATCGATCAAATACAACATTACAGTCTACTTAACTATCCACAGCCCCATTCTAATGTTATTCATATGGCCATTATACAAAAATAGGTCATATATAGCCATAATCTTTATAAGATGAAGTCATATGCCCCTTGCATTCAGAATTTCATTGTTACTCATCAATGGCTACTCATCTCACCAATCAAAAAACTCAGCTTACATCACCGGCGACGATCGAATCTCATAATTGTTCCATTTGATAAAAGTACAATGATCAGTTTTACTGACACCACACTTCTGATATCATAAAATTACACTGGATGTCTAGATTACGTCTCTACTTATATAGTCACGTTAATCACATCTAAGTGCACTCAGTGATATCCAACAGGTCTCTGGTACTAGATATCATGTAATTTCCGTCCTCGTGTTCTAAACACATCTGTTGTTGTTAAAGCAGATGCCACTTCATGAAATAGACATATTGTGTTGGAAGAGAAAACTAGAACGAAACTTCGCAATCGGATGGATTTCATTCATTTTCCTTTTAGATACCGAAAGAAACGATAAAAAAAGTAGGTAAAGACGAAAATATTGTTTTATTGATAAAAAAAAACTCCTGGATATTTCAACAATATATGAATTATACAATACGTGAGACTTCAGAAAATCAGAGAGAAATCAGGCAGAATGAATGATTACCATTTATTTACAGTATCGATCTGATTTCATTTTCTCACGTCTAAAAAGAAAATATGAGATAAATCGTAAGACAAGAATAAAAATAATTTAAATATTTGTGTGGAAGTGTACTCAGAAGTGTGGCTATTAGTGATAGATGTTTTGACAACTGATTAGTTATCAACTCCCATAAGACTTGGATTATACGATTATTTTTTTATTCTTGCACTGCATAGAAAATTACAACCTATTTAGTCTTGCATCTAATTTAGTAAACATCTTTATGATAGAAAATTATTCATAGTTAAAACTAAAAGTAGATAGTGGGCAGCGAGTCGCTCCGCACTAATGTATAGCTTTGAGATGTGACTGCTGACAGTAAAGGATTTGAAGAGACTACAGGTTTTTAGTCATACATTTCTTTGTGCCACTACTCATGTGTGATTAAACCACCGTTTAAGTAACGGTGAGATTAGACATAAGAACTGAGACAAAGAACGTAAGTTCCTTCACCGAATACAACGTCTTCAAAATGTGTCGAGCATGTCAATTGAACACCTGTCTCAACCAACAACACTAATCAAAAGAGAATATAGTTGCAAAGAGGATACATGTGGACACACCTAGATAAACAACAAATTCATCAAATCTCTAAATGTCAGTCTCATTAATTCAGGTTGACTAGATGGAGTTTCCTCAACACAAAGAGACAAATACTTGCAGACTCTTCATGATTTGCCCCAAAAACAGTCACAATGGTCCATATATATACACAGTCTTCATCGCCTTACAGGTCCTAGACCTTTTTCTGATCTTCATTTATTTATCCCTTCTCCTCTCATACACTATGATCCGCTTCAATAATCTCCTGTTCTGATCCAATTTCCTTCTGTATTGTTGTGAAGTGCGGCACTCTTGAGCTAATTCTACGTTGATTTATTTGTCTCTTACATATGAAAGAATAACAGACTACTGTAACCATATTTTGCATAAACAGCTTGCAGATATTTATGCATCTTGAAATAATCCTGAAACAAGCTGATACGATAAGATTCAGAAGCTAATTGTTAAATGAAGACTGATTCCAGTACCTCATTTCAACAATCTGCAGTCAGTAAGAAGAAAGATTCCAAAACAGGAGCCTGAACAAATTTATTTCACGCTCCAGCTGACAATAATCATAGTGAAAATATGTGTGACTGTAGGCTTCTAGGAGGAAATATCCAGGATGAAGCATTCAAAATACAGCTTTTAGGAAGTAAAACAGGAATTCTTCATGAGATTAAGATTTTCAATGGTTGTAATAGAAAATAATTGAATTCCTGATAAATGTGGGCCAGTTTTAGAAAAAATAATCATATTTCCTAACAGTCGAATAAAAAGGAAGTAAAGCCTGTCTGATATGGTTAAAAACATCCACACTTTCTTTCCACAACGGACAAATGATATTTATATATGCGAATAATAATTAGACGACGAAAGATGCCTATTCAGTCATAAAAAACGAGGTAATTCAGTCAAGAAAGTTTTTCTCCGACGATGTTTTTTCTGAGACTGTACAAGCGTATTTATATACCTCACAAATATATAACAGTCTATTACTGAACAAAAGGGTATATTTGTATTTCAGTTTTAATACTACTCTAATGCTATATATTTGTGATATATACAAGTACGATTGTACAGTCTTGGAAAAGAACACATCTCCGAATAAGAAAATCTTCGCTGAATTCTTTTTTTTTAATTGTTAATTAGCACATGTGAATGAAGTACATATATCTGTACTAGTATTCATGAGCCATACTTAATATGTTAGAGCTCGTGACAGTACCTGGTTGCTAAGACCGAAGTGTATGGAGGACTCGAGGTCTGAACCAACTGCTCAAAAGTTTAGTGCTAAAGTCAATGGGTTACATATCCCTACAGATATAAAATGAACTACTTAGCATACACAGTGGTATGGCTTAACGGTAAGGATACTCTTCTGAAAGGATATACTTCTTAACGGTTAAATGAACTGGTAAATAAAAAGAAATTTCAGATATTTCTCACCAGCTACTGTGTGTAAACGGCATAAATCCATCTAACTTAGCATGTGAAAATAAACTTCATATAGTTGATAAGAAGTTTGAGAACTTAAATGATATCACTCTCACACTAACCAAAAAAATCTACTTATCTAGGAAAGACCACTGAAATAATTTTCCTGGAAAAACACTTTATCAGGTGACATTGGATCACTGCTCATATACAGCATGCAAATACACCTAACGTGTGGAAGCTAAATACAATACCCAGCCCTTCATGCCTCAAATGATATGCAGTCATCGGGTAGTAACACATCCACAACACATTAAAAAATTTTAAGAGTCAACAGGAGGCGTTAAACACCTTTCTTAGCTAACTGTTTTTTAACCAGTAGATTTGCGAGTTAGGATTTAGATCCGCATGCTGAGATTCAGGCAGCCAGGTGGCATCATCTATCTTTATACATTACAGGTAATATTTTACTGTTATCTTACACAGCTAAGACAATTTTGTGACGCTCCAATTTCAACAAAGCTAATGAGAACTTCATCTATATTCTACACATTTTTCAGCATACTTGACTTACACAGACTTAAGGAATAGTGTAAGAGGATTAATAGGTGGTTGGGAAAACTATCAATATGTAAAGTAAATGAGAAGAACCAAGAGGACAGTTGCCTTTGCAAGTAGTGGAGACTAACTTGAAAAAAACAAACTGAGTAGTTATTGGGATTTAATTGTTTTGAATGTTATTTTCATTACGGATCGACTTCAGTTAGAGAAGCACTAAAAACCAAGAAACAATGGACAACTGCTTCATTATTGTTTGGGACAATGACTGGGTCCTAGGTTCATTTCCTCACTCTTGAGCCCCTAGTTTTCTTATACTTCACTATCTAATGCCAGTCTGTGGTGATAACAGCCTCAAAAACTTAACTTCAGGATTATTATGCTATTAATTCAACCGAAAAGACTGAACAAAGAGGATCTCAAAAGTTCATATTAAAAAAAACTAGAAGTGTAAGTCATAGTCACTTTCAACAACCAGGATTTAAAAAATTCAGAGATAACAAAGCAATTTCTTAACGGCTAGACCGATAAAGCAACAATACAATTAAGAGGAAGCACTAGCACATACCGATCTAATAAACATTCATATAGATTACCAGAATGCCGAGCACGTTTCACATCGCTGAATTCCTCTTTACTTAAACGAAGCTTTTGATCTTGCCAACTTTGAAATTTACGACTGAAAAAAAAGAGAAAAGAAATCAACACTTTTGAAATAAATAAAGTGGTGCACAACTTTAATCTCAAAAATGGGTCACTTTAATGGCTACCCTGACAACTGCTAAAATAACCAATCAGGTTGCGGTATTTTATCCGGGAAGACAATTTTTTATAGAATAGAGAAACATGATTGGTTGTCTTTCCAGTTGCTAGGGTAGCCTTTAAAGTCATTCCTCAAAAATTAACCAAATATTCATTTAAATTGTCATTGTTCAAATTGATGCAACCACTCGGTATGTATTTCTTTTTTACTGTAAAAAGTATTATATCTAAAGGATGAACATAATAAAAGACTGATGAAAATACGCATTTGCTCACATTTTTGTCTTTCTAATAACACAATGATTACATTTCGTTCACTGAAGTTTTGAGGGCTTTCTTCTACTCGTTTCCAACTAACTGATTCTCTTTTAGTCACTTCACTCCACGAGCTATACCATGTACCAGGAGTCTAATTAAATTCGGACACGTTAATTATTCCAACTCGTAACAAGCTGATCAAAGATCACAGGATATCATTAACCTTCTGAGACCCTTCTATGTAAAAAATATATTTACCACTACCGAACAACCTGATTTTGCTATTCCTCTTTAACTATACCATCAATGATTTTCTTGGGACAATTCTGAAGGAAACATATGGTAACGGTGTAGATTTATCACCAGGACATAAGTTCGAACACCGCTCCACCTACTAAGGTTTGCACAGGTGTCGCTCATTGCCTACTGCATGAATGTGCACAAGGTTGCTGAGTGCATTTCGATTTTGATTGTAGGACAGAGAGTTCTAACCTTTGAGTATGTGAATAACAACGGATTGTTCCCCAATAACGGTCCAACAATTTACTCAATAACGATAACTGCTGTTTGTCTTACCATTATCCGATAGACTTTTCTGACATCGTAGAACCTCAATGAACAAATCTTCCCACTAGTATAGCTCGTTGACTCATTGCAATACGCAAGCTCGATCACCACTTCAGATAAACAGCTACCAAAAGCTGTAAATTTCGCTACACATACCAAAGTGTCCATATATAGTCATGGTAGCGGGCGATTTCAACTATGAGGTAGAGAAGCTGAGCCAGTCAGAAAGGTATCCCGGAAGTATCTAAGCTATCTCATGACAATGAACCAAGATTGGTGGTCGTCTCTAGCAATTTTGTTCTGATACTCACTTGTTCCTATCAAGCAATAACTTCAAACATAAGGAGGGCCAATTTTTCACTTGGCTGCGACTATGAAGCATCATTTTCTGGTGGTAGAACCACAGTGGCCAAAAACGAGGTTAAACGCAAAGTACTAAGTAAGAGGAGCAATTCAATAGATAAAGGTACTAATCTTTACTGACTGATGTGACATGAGTGTTGATTTCACATACCAAGTCACCACCTACATCGACGAGTGATGTTAATCGAAACAAGGTAAGATTGAAAAGAAGCTAAAGATGATCAAAATAAGACAGTACTAGATCATGAAGTTTATGAGTTCTGATATGATTAAAACTTGGGCACTTGAATAAAATGAAATTCCACATCACATTGGTTCATTTGACACATGGTGTTACAATTAGGTGAAAGAAGAAACTGAATATTGAATCTCTGTTCATGAAGCCAACACCCAACACATGTAACAGGAATAACGCAACACAGTGCAGAAATATGGGAAATTTCACTAACACTGAACCAAGAATACCGGTTGATACGTGTTCTACCACACGTCCCTTCGTACTATTTTTCATGTGTAGTGGAATTAATGTGTAAGTAGTTGTGAGATTAGGCGAAGAAAGCCACTCAATCGATGAGGTTGTGAAATTTTGACGACTGAGATGGCTTGGACACTTCACGCATACTGAGTTATCATCTCTCGATGTGCAGCGTTAACCAAGGTAAGAGTGAGTTGGAACAAAGTGCAGGATGGCAGCACCAAGATGTGATACCAATCGACAAAGTCTCTGACTCTTGGTCTGGACCATATAGGCAAATGAAGACTACTTGACTAGGGTGTTCGAGATAACAGAAGTCAATAGAAAGTGACCTTAGGTGAACTGGTTGAAAATCGGTCACAATAGCTTACATGTATATACTCTTTGACATATTCGATAGCTTAAACATCTTCACTAACTTCCATTTTGAAATCCTTTATCCTATCATACACCTTTGTTTACTCTGATATCAGTATTTTCTATCCATTTTTTTACATGCTGCTGTGGAGTGCGGCAACTTGAACCGAACCACTTCTGGGTGAATTTTTAAATTGGCTTGTTACTATATGTATGGTATCCTAAATAAACTAATCTAGTATGGAATATGCGAATATACGAAAAAATGTGCTTATATTTGATTTTAGAAAAAGCTACAAAATCTCATTCATAGAGCAAACAGCAATTAAAACACTGTGGAGGTTCATTTGACAATTGTGTACTTAAGCTGAATTTTGGACAAAATATACATAGAAATCAAATGCTAAAATTATCGTAATGAATGAAGAAGTGCCCCAATGATATGGACATTCGACTTTCAATCAATGAGTTTTTTAATCAAACTCCCTTGCACCTAATTCCCTTTGAGTGAATGGATAGAATCACCAACAACCACAGAACAAGTATAGCTCTTAGTTTATTACATAGACCTCGGCCAGGTTGAATTGTGATTTTTTTAATTTAAACTAGTCATCTGTTAGAAAGAGATGGTGTATGCTAAAATTCTAATTACACTCTTAAAGCTATTCAACTGTAAAATATAATGAGATTAACAAGCATACTAACAAACAACTTACACATAATTAACTTCAGCCTTTTTCAATCCTTCACGTTCTTCCTCCGGAATATCCAGTAGAGGATCATGCGTAAGTGGTTTATTAGAACGAAACTAGCAGAAAATAGAAAACAACAAGTTCATAACTAAGTGCTTAGAAAAGTACAGATAATATCATACCAATATAACTTCACTAATTGCACTAAGAGGCTTGAAATGATTACATGTGGTGAATATTAAGAATTCAAGATTAAGTACTTGTTGTAAAGACTGGTAAACATACTGAACAAAAGACAAACCAAAATCGATATAACAATTAAACTTATTTCTAAAACTTTTTCTTTTAAACTAGACTATAAAAACTGAAAATAAGTACATACAGCAACCATTTCATTGGTTTTGGCTTGTTGACTTTTAAATACAACGTCATCGGTAGTAAAATCGGGTGAAAGAAAACAATTGTTAGCACCCAATAGAGCACTACGACCATCTTGAAAAACTGGCTCAAATTGTTCAAAAATACCAACAGCATCTGCTGTAGCCATCAAAATAGCATCAGATTTCGTAGAAACACCAAGATATTTTCCATATCTAAAAAGATCCCAAAAAAAGATATAATATGCCTTTTTTAAGTTAAACTTTTTAAAGTAGTGAGTATATAACTACATCAAATAATCACCAAATACATGATCTTCTAAAAAGTCTCCGGTCATCGCATATAATTTTTATTACCGCAAATGTCCTGACCAACTTAAAGTATAAAGTCTTTTCCCTAACTATATAGCAAACTTTGAATGATTCTAAAGCCCAATGTACGGTAAGCTAGGCTGAAAGATACAAAATACATACTTGTATCCAAAATAAAGCAGTTTCATCTAAAATATATGTACGAAACAACCGACTTTAACTGATACCAGCATCTACACTTCCGCTTAATTCAAATTCGCGAAAGAGAAGAATTGTATGAAGTTAGCTAGTTTGTTTGAACATTTTATCATCATGAGCTACTGGCACAATTTGACCTTTAAAACACCCAAACAGTAGTCAGTGAATGCATAGGCTAAGACTGAATTGTTTCAAAGTCCCCTTCAGTTATTATAAATCCATTCACCTAAACATAGTATAGGTAAATACTGACTGGAATCCAGTGAAGAAGTGCTCTTTCTACATCACGTTACCTACAAGTTTGTAGGAAATATCCGTTAAAGCCCCCGAAATCCCCAGTATCAACTGTACACACTTTACACTAGCCTGGTGAGATCAAATAAGTAAAATAAGAGAGGACCAATTAGAATCGGTAGTCTCAACACCTACTTTGAAAGAGTTTCCAGATAACCAGTCTGTCAACAGTAGGTCCAATATCATGCGATTTTTTAGACAGAGTCTAGCCAATGAGATTCTTAACTGTGAGTAGGTGTGTAGATCAAACAAATGAAGTTATGGATCTTTCACACTTTCATTTCCCCTTTAATAAGCTGCTTTCCGATGCGTTCTGTTCTTCGGCTGGAAGTATTGGTGAGTCAATAAAAAAAACACGCGCACTCAGCCACCTTTTGCAAATCCGTGCAGTATGCAATAAGCCACACCAAGTGTGTGAGGGTTACTGATACTACCTGGCTGCCCAAACCTAGATAGGTGGAGCGGGGCTTGAACGCGTCACCCAATGGTCAATAACAGATGGATAATGCAACAATGAGGGTTTCAGTAACACAACATTCATTCATAGCTGGTGGTCCCATAGTTTTGGGTGCTTAAACCTGTTATCCGACTTGACATACCATTCCAGTGTAGAGAGGTCCCAACCTGCCGTCGATAAACGGATTGAGGGAACTGAGGGTAGTGTTTCATAGACTCGAATCACTAGCGATGATTACAGACTAAAAAGTTAAGGAAACTGCCGGAGACAATGTTGACAATGGAGAAAACAGCTGTCGATCGGATAACTTCCGTTCAATTTTATCCTGACTAACTGATGGCTACAAATACTTTTCACTCTGAATTCTTAAGGACTAATTTCAATCCGGAAGTTTAAATAAGAAAGCATGCAAGCGTTGCATTCAGTTACTCAGAATCACTGTTAAGACACTATGTCTCGGTAAAAGTTCCAGAATATTTAGGATGTACTTCTGAATTGTTTAATACAGAAGACTCTTCCAAAATTAGCCTGTGACACCTAGTTCAGAAAAAGTCGATGAAATGGATAACTAAGTTTATTACCAATCAGATAGTCGCATAAATACTGGTTAGCTGGTAGTCAGAAAATATCCTGCAATGATCCAGAAAGATCAAATGATATTAGCTGAAATACGATAAGTGTAAGATATGTGTTCATAAAGGGAAACGTATGCTATACAGAGATCCGGTTTGTGCTATTTTACAACCGCAAAATATGGATGTTTTCATAGTAAAGTTGATGTGTACACGAAACTTGAGAAAACACATTTATGTTGGGGGTTCAATGTTGTTCAGTTTTCTTGTTTTATTTCTTACCTCGCATAGAAGAGGAATCTAACACGATGGTATCAATAATGCATAGGAAGTATGTTAAGTATTTATAAACAGGAATTCGAAAACGAAAAACACTAATATTAAGAGATGGGTAGCATACTGCCTGCAAGCACAGAATCAATTTCAACCAATTCATATAAACGATGACACAAAAATGGCTCATTTCATTCTCCTATATTTAAAACTTCTGCTGAAAACAACCACCCAAAAATTTAAACAATGAAACCAATACTCACACTAACTAACCCAGATTTAAACGCAACTTTGGAATCCGAAACTTTCATGGCAGTAAAAATTTCCTCTGGAGCAGGTGGTTCCCCGTATTTTCTTGGTGGTCCAATCACGAGCAGGCCTTCATCAGTGGCTGACAGATAACATGCACCCGGAAACTCCTGATTATTAACATTTTGTGCAGAATTAGCGGCTCCAGGCTGTTCATCAGATGCAACATTCACTTGTATTGCTATGGAATCCTTGATTTCATCGAATTCCCTGGCAGACCACCAACCGCCATGGGCTTCTGCATCCGAAATACGCTCTGTTTTTTCCACCTTTTGTTCTGAACCATGTCGCCTTTTGTGATGTTTTTTCTTTTTTTCACCTTTTAATTTCAATTTCCCAGGTCGTACAAATGAATAACTATCCATTATCTAAAATATTTATATTAAATGATCTATATTTACTAGATAAAATAAACAGGATACTCCATAAAATAAATCCAACGTTTACTTTCTATAAGGCTTAACTCAAACTGTGGTGCTAAGATGCATCGAGAATGTTCTGACATAAATTTTGGGAATAAAATTGCTGTAAAGATGTTATCTTGAGACTCAAGAACCAGTGCGCTTAAGGTGTGCATAAACACACTAATCGTGAAAATAGAACATACAATCTGTTACTACAAACTAAAACCTGGGAATCTAGTAGACCATTGGTGTAGGTTATCTAATTACCAATAGTCAAATAAAGTTCTTATTTGCAAATGGTATGAAAAGAATGAAAAACATGCTGAAAACAGGGCAAACAGCAATCCGGAATCAAATAATATTATAAATGGCAAACGCAGAAGAGCGGAGAGAGAAGGTTTTGTGACAGTTATTCCCATTTTGCAGAAGTTGACTATTCTTACCTGCTTTATCCATCTAAAAAATAATACCCATTTCCTTCACTGAAATGAATCCTTCTTATTCCACATTGTAAGATAAACCAAAGGTGTATGCAGCCAGAAGTAAGTTCATTTGTATACAAATAGCTCAAATGTCCTGCCTTTTTTATCAATCTAAACAGTGTGAGAAATATAACCAGAATAAAACAAATCCCTACATCAGCGTCACTTTCCTGTGTAAGTTACCGATAATACTTGACACGTTATCTTGCCTTAATGATTGTTTCTGCTCTCTTTAACTCATAAATAACCTAAAGTTTATATGAACACTTGTCTTAAATAATGGTACTCTTCAATACTCAATCATAACAAAATCGAAAAATTAGGAAGTTTGAAATGAAATGTGGTAAGCTAAAAAAACAGTAGCATTAACTGAATTCCGTCTTAGTAAAGATGGACAGCGGCTAGCAGTGGAATTCAGGATGCGCATTTCGTTCTATTTGGGACTCGTCAGCTGCATATACCTGCCTCCCAGTGAGTGATGTTGCTCCCGCCGGAATTCCATTTTTTACAACATATTTGACTAGTTCCTAAATAAGCAGGACGCCTCACGACTGTAAAAGGATTCAGGTGACTAATCACACCTGGAAATTACATCAACTAGTGAATCGCTATTCAAACAGTTACTAGGTAAAAACAATTACTTTTCATATGAACGAAAACTCACTTCTAAGGAAACGAAAGTTTAACAACTAATATTTAAAAGTAAATGTAACACTTTGGAACCTACAAAGCACCAAAGCAGCTATGAGTATCCAAATAGATTAGAGAAAATTATGATCGAAAAAATATCCCGGCGTGACTTCCATTGAATCATACAAAAGAAATACTAGATGATAAGGAGTTAATTGGAATTCGATGCAAACCAACCCTTAAAATAATCGAAACCATAGTTAGTGATCCCTTATAAACGTTCTGCATCTTAAACTCCATACTCCTGAGATCTCTTTGAACTCCATGGTGGAATTTTGAAACATACTATATTACACCAACCCACCCAAATATCTTGCTTTTAAACTGAAACCACATCAACAACTCAAAAGCAGGCTGATCAAAGTTTCACACGCCTTCAGTTCAAAAATACCGTAGTTAACTATTGCAGAAAATGAAGCAACAGTAAACTATGATTCTACGTCACTATAAACTGGTCTTACAACTGAATTTTCTGAAATTGCACCGATAGACAACCTGAACAAGATTTCCATACTTTCGTTAGCACATCAACGAGAGGGTTACCAAGAGGGAAGACAACAACATAAAAATAAGTATACCTAATGGTCATGAAAACATGTATGTCAAAAAGAAAAGCAAACAGGCAACAAAGAAAAATGAAAACAAAATTTCTAAGATTTAGATACAGCATAGGCATAATAGTGCTACTGTGGTCTTTCCAGAAGAATATCACCTAAAGTCTTTAATCACAGACTTCCGTTGCTGCATTTACACCAACCAAGAAGCCTTACCAATACACAAGACTCGGATTAGTTGATTTACCGAGTGATGACTATGCTCTATGATGGAAAACAAGGCATCAGTTCATGAAGTCTCTGACTACTCATCTGACCGATTTGGGAAAGTGTAAACCTAGAGTTCGGGGTTCACGTGACAATGGACTCAAGGTATATACCTCAGAACAGATCTCAATGGCGTAGGTGTATCCAAACATTGTCTTCATCTCAATAGTCATACTGAATTCCGGTGTTATATTACCCCCATTTCCTCCCTCATCACTTACCTACTTTCTTCCTTACTTCTCTTTCTCCCTGGCGTATTCTACCTTCATCTTCGTTTTCAAGAATCGTTCGAAATTCTTCTGGACTCTGCCTATTCACAGTCATGAAAGAACTAGTCAGATGGTAGTGGGATCTCAACCTTGCCTGGTTAACTAGTTCACTAGTCACTAGCCAGTCCTAGGACACGATAGAAAGGGAAGGTTAAGCACAGGGCTAGCAACCCTATGCCGGAAAACCAATCCAATCGCTGAAGAAACTTCAAAGCACAAAAAATATGAAAAACAACTAACTCCTCGCTGGAGTCGGGGAAAAGAAATGATGCCGGTTGGTGAAAGCCTTCGGGAAGCCCATTGGTCCATGTGTCTTCCCTCGATGAAACCGAAAGTAAGAATGGGGACATGGAATGTACGCACAATATTTGAAGCTGGCTGGGAAGGCTGCCTAATCTGCGAAAGAGATGAGAAGATATAGCATAGACGTGCTAGGAATCTACGAGGAATCTGTAGATAGAATGGGAGTGGACTCTCCAAACATAGAAATAATGCAGATGAAGAGGAGAAGGAGGAATTCTACAGACAACTCCAATCAGTACTACACAAGACCCTACCCCAGTTGGTGACATCAAAATTCATTCTAATGTGTGGGGTGACTTAAACGCCAAACTGGAAGTGGAAAACACAGGCAGAGAACCAATCGTGGATCGAGAAGCACCACTCAGTAAAATGATGAATGAGGATGGAGAATTGTTTGCAGACTTCTGCGCATTCAACGATTTGGTGATTGGAGGCGAGGCAGTGTGTACAAACACAAGGATATTCACAAGGCAGCGACATGGATTTCACCAGACAACAGGACACACTAGAAATCAGATCGACTTCATCTCAATGTGAAGATGAGTGGAGACGCAGCCTACTGGACACAAGATGAAGAAGAGGAGCAGATGTAGGTAGGTTCACACCACTCACACCACTATCTAGTGCAAGGAACCTACATTACAAATCAAGTTGAAAGCCTCCACACAAGTGGGTGATGACAGACCACAGTTCAAGTTCAACACCCACCCAGTACAGAAACTTAAGCACAAAACTACAAACGACATATTCACGTCAGTCAGCCATCAGGACAAAATGACAGATATTAACCAACGTCCGTGAAGAAACGTGTGTGGATGAGCACTGGAACTCTTTGAAAGCTATGTGGAAAGAAACCTGCATTAGGAAACCTGTATTAGGAAGGAAGAAGAAAGAAGACAAGTTATGGATCCCAACAGACACATGGAAGCTGATAGGGGAGGGAGAGGAAGATGGTGAAACAGAAGATAAACCAGTGCAAGGGTGAACAATGAAAAAGGGGACTGAGTACAACTCATAAAACACTACACCGGAGAAGGGAGTGAAGAAGAGTGCACGGAAAGACAAAAGACACTTCTATGACACACTGGCAAGTGAAGCTGTACAGGCTGCACGTAGGAGAAACAGAGACCTGACAACACTATATCAAATAACCAGATTACAATCTGGAAGGAAAGAGATCAACGCAGACGAAGCCAATGAAGGGTGGTGAAGGGAAGTTAGTTAGCAAAGAGGAGAAACAAAGGAAACAATGGGCTGACCCATTTCAAAAAACTCTTGAATCGACCACTACCTGCAACTCGTACAGAAATATCACCAGCAACTTCAAAATTAATTACAAGTGAACACAAGCTCTCCGACAAAAGCAGAAGTGAAGTCCTGAACACCATAAAGTTGGTGAAATGTGGGAAAGCAGGGTCACCAGATGGAATTCCGCCAATAGCTCTGAAAATAGACACAGAGACATCAGAGGACATGCTCACACTACCACTGCAGACGGTTTGGGAGGAAGGAAGGAAATGTGCCTGCCAGTTGACTGGAAGAAGGGTTACCTTGTCAAACTCCCAAAGAAGGGAGACCTAAGGCTCTGCAAGAACTGGAGAGGAATCATGCTCCTGTCCCTGTCACACCAAGCAAAATATTAAGCCACATCATTCTGGAGAGACTCAACAGAAAATGCACTGGGTTCAAAATTACCACTGGAACAAGCTTGGTGGCTTCAGGAAGTACAAATCATGCGCTCATTAAATTGCAACGCTACGCATCATCATAGAACAGAGTATAGAATGGTAGTCAAATCTGTACCTCAACTTCATCGAGTTTGAAAAGACCTTCGATAGCGTCGACCGGGAAGAAGTTTGGCAGCTGCTTGCCTCAGCACTACGGCTTTATTGCCACAAACCTTTATCAACCTCATTCAACAGCTATAATGCTATATGATTCCACATGCCAAGTGATTCACAATAGAAGGCTCAGTGACGCATTTGAAGTAAAGACAGACAGGTGTAAGACAAGGGCTGGCACCTACTATCACCGCTGATCTTCCTGATTGTGGTCGACTGGACTGGACTGGATCATGCAACAAACCATGAGGAACGAGAAGATGAGCATACGCCGGACCGATGAAAAGACCTTAGAAGATTTGGATTTCGCCAATGATTTATGTCTAACATCGCACAAACTCGAAGATCTACAGGCAAAAACCAACAAGTTTGCAGAAAAGGCGAGGCAGCGAAGACGGCACTTTATGTGAACGTAGAGAAGAGAGAGGTAGAGGTGATGAAGATACCCAACCACCACCACCAACAACAAGAATCAATCACCATCAACGAGAAAAACCCAAAGAAGTAGTCTCTTTCACCTACCTAGGCAGCATCATCTCAACTACAAGCGACGGTGGCGGCACAAATGAGGATATTAAAGCAGCCAGGATCGACAGCAAGACAGACCTTCATTAACCTGTAATCAGTGTGGAGATCTACTGCACTCAGCACAAAGCGTGAACAAAATCCGGATTTTCAACACTAATGTCAGTCAAGTGAGTCAGTGCTTCTATGTGATGTTTGGGAGACTTGGAGGCGCATGACGAAAAGCATTTCCAACAAACTACACATATGCATCATCAACAGCTGCCACCTACGCTCAATCGATACTGAACATCAGGCGGTCAGAAAGAATAAGCAACAAGGAACTCTGGCTGGTAACGAACCAATCAACAACGTATCACCCAACAAATATGCAGAAGAAAGTGGAGATGAATTGGATTGGATTGGGCATACACTGAAAAGACCGATTGGGGATATCACGCGCCAGGGCAGGTTGTCGAGTTGAACCCAAATGGGAAACGATAAGTTGGGTGTCCGAGGCGAGGGTGACATGTAGGAGACGGTGTGAAGAACAAATGAAAGTTTCTAGGCAGTAGTGGAGCCAGATTCGAAAGACTGCAGAGAACAGAGTGAAATGGAGACGTGCTGCTGAAGCCCTATGTTCCGATGGGAACCGAAGGGACAAAAATAAAATAAATGGGATCTCCATAATTGCTTTTTAATGTTCCAAATGATTTCAGATGGTATATTTGATTCATATTTGGGTGGTCCATTTGTTATCTCTTTTGAAACTAATAACTAAATATTATCTTAATCAAACTTGCTCTTCAGAGAAAAAGTAGTGCATCACTGTAATTCACTGGAACAGGTGCCCAACCCAAGGCTCCGAATCCTGCTCCAGCTACTGTGCAACTAGATAGTATCATCAGCCATAACATGATTGGTGAGAATCATTGTATATTGCATGGAAATATACATTGCTGTTCATTTGCATGTTTGCACTCACTAGAAACCGAAACATAACACTCAGTTTGATAATCCATTACAAACAAGCACATTCAAATCAATACTTTGATCTCACACTAGGTATTTACCTGCAGTCAAACTGTTCTTCTGCTGTAGACTAACTCAGACGTTGATTAAATTGCTTTTGCTGGTACAACTAAACAACTATGTATCGCTCACTTTCTAACCAATACACTCCATTATTTCCTAAGCGGACTGTAAAAATACCTAGCTGTCTAAACCCCAACAAGTAGAGATAGGCATCATCTTACGAAGTCTTCGAATATTCGTGTGAGCCGTTTAGGATAATGCCGACTTCTAGGTTGGGGTCAGCATGACAACAGAAATCAGCAGTTGGAAACTGTGGGTAATTCGGTTCAGAATCAGTGTCAATGGTACAGATGTAAGCACATTATCCTCATCCTAATCGTTATAGTGAATTCAGCACTTTCTTATTCCTCCTTGTTATCTTATCACGACTTTCTACTACTTTTGGTTACTTTCTTCCACATTTGTCTGTCATTCATCTTAGTGTGTTCTCGCCTGATATACTGACATGAGATGTGGTGATGAGCTGTTACTCAGTAGTGCCAGGTTCTACGCTGATCTTGTCTGTTCGTTTATTGGCTTGCTTGTTTTGATGTATACAATACTGAAGAGTCATGATGCCAAAGCATATTTTCTGATACAATGCATGTAAGAAAGCTACGAGTCCTTCCCAGAAGCATAAGTCAATAAATGCTGCATATGGAACACGCAGTAGTAATATTTACTATCTACGAAGACTTCAGTGACGATACGAACGTCAGTGCTTCTTAAAAGGCATTCAACGACTACAAAGAAAAGTGGTTATAATAATTCAAAACTTACAATCTCAACTCGCATAAAGTGTTTCAACAGATAACAAAAGCTGAATATGTATCCTAGTAGACTTCTGATACCTCTCAATCAAAATTGCATCTACGCAACAAATTTGCGAAAAACGAATTGAACCACTCCTTCTACGGTTTACTTTACTGCAATCTTAAGTAAAAATATTTTTGCACAATTTTGCTTTCACTTACAAAGTCTTGGTTCAGAGGAAGTAATAAGACTACGCCACAGCATCAGCGAAGAGCTTTGCTGTTTAATGGTTTGAACCTAAGATCTTCCAAAACAAATATGTTAAAATCAAGATATTTTACCATATATCAAAAGAGGAAAATACTGCACATTATTCCACTCTGATCTACTGTACAGCTAAGGCATGGCCGTTGAAAGTAGAAATGAAGAGGTTATAGGCTTTTGACCATAGATGTCCTTGTAGTATTGCTTCCGTGTCATGGGATCATCATGTGAGAAATACACAGGTTAGATATGGAGTACCATGAAAAGAAGGTAAATCAATCGATGAGGTTGTGAACCTGCACCGACTAAAATGGCTTACATACATATCGCGGATCCCAAACCACAGCCTGCCTCGATGTGTTATCTTAAGTACGATTAGGTGCAGAGAAGCCTAGAGATGGTCAGATCAAGATGTGGTAATAGTTCAGGAATGTTCGGATTGTTAGTTTGAGCCATGTCAGATGTAGGCTCCCTAGACCACGGCGACAGGAATCAGCGGCTGGAGACTCTTGGTGATATGGCTTATAATCTGTCACAATGGGGGAGGCGAACACTGCATTCTCTAAAATTTCATGTATTTTCATTAACCATCATATACTTATTCTCGCCCCTCTCATATACTTTTGTCCACATGTCATTACTTTTCTATTCACTTCTTTGTATACTACCATGAAGTGTGAAAACTTGCAATGATGCGTGAGTCAGGTTTTACGCTAACTTATCTGGCTGTCTGTAAACTGCAATGTTTAACTTGTGATATTAAAATTAGCACAATCTTTGTGATTACACTATGACCACCTAAATTTCCGCTGATACAAGAAAGTAAACAGACAACATCAACGTATAATCTCGCGCACAGGTTCATCGGTTTAAGTTATCACTCCACAGCAGCATGCAAAGGACAAGTGTGTAGAGAAACGGATATTAAAGGTAGACAGAGTTTTATAAGAGAAAAAGGAATTTGAAAATCAAGGCTAGTGAAAATGTTTGAGCTTTAGAAGACGTCAAAGAGTGAGCACGTCTCCGTCACTTTGACCGATTTTCCGCCATTTCACCAACCACTGATTCCTACTGTCTCGAAGATTTCAACCAGGCTTTCTACACCTTCCTACACTGCTCACACTGATAGTCAGAGACTTCATCGACTCGTTCGAAGTCTTGGTCTGGACACCCTAAGTCTTTTGTCGATCTAACCCTACTTCATCCAACATTGAGGTAGGCGGTAGCTTGGCATGCATAATACATATCTAAGTCGTGTCAGTCAGCTAAGGTTCATGACCTCATCGACAGGCTTGCCTTTCTTGTTTAGTACCCTTTGCCTAACCTCAACTTAGCTGATGTAGTGATTCCACCACACGTAAAAAATGCCACAAAAACAACCGTGTCCTAAAACCTGCAATCTTTTTATGTCTACTTTCAATAACCAAATCTCAACTGTACAATAGCATAGAGTAAATTTCAGAGCAGTATAATCGTCCTTTATCAGATAGTCGGATATATTACAGCCTTTCAGGATGACTATTCACTTATTTTTGCTCTACGTTAGTGAACATATAGATTAGGCGTTTATGCCCTCTCCTTCTTTTTGTCACCTGTAGTGAATGAGTGATAGTTCCAAATTCCACTTTCGGCATGTTTTTATCAATTTAAATAACTTAACAACTTGCCATTTTCGCAGATACAGCAAAGGTAGTTATTTTTTACTCATATTTCCCCTGGTGTGTTTCGAGGTGTGCATGAGATCAGTTGTGTTTACAGGAAAAATATGTTTGAATGAACAAATTACACTAAATATACCGGTGGGAGATAGATATTATAACTAGTCTTCACTTAATTATTCAATCTCCATTCCTATACTTTCGAGTGCTTCAATGGCATCATTTGTTCATCTAATCCATCTTCTGGGTCAAACCCACGAAACATTCGCGCATTTTAGAGCATCAATTTATGATAAATATATTTACCATGAATATCAATACACAATGAAACCATTTAATTAGAGATATTTCGAGCAAAATTACCGTCCATGATCAAATCAATTGTTGGAATTATTTGTTCATAAAGTTTCAGATAGATATCAAATATATGGCGTTATTCCCTTTGTACGCTTGACACTTTTTATAAACCACTATTACCAGAATTAAATAACATCACTGAGTGTAGATATTCATCAGGAAACTATTAATAATAAACATCTTTGGTTGTTGCTGTGGTGTGTAGCAGGCAAACAAGACCAGCGTGGAACCTGGCACTACTGAGTAACAGCTCGTCACCACATCTCATGTCAGTATATCAGGCGAGAACACACTAAGATGAATGACAGACAAATGTGGAAGAAAGTAACCAAAAGTAGTAGAAAGTCGTGATAAGATAACAAGGAGGAATAAGAAAGTGCTGAATTCACTATAACGATTAGGATGAGGATAATGTGCTTACATCTGTACCATTGACACTGATTCTGAACCGAATTACCCACAGTTTCCAACTGCTGATTTCTGTTGTCATGCTGACCCCAACCTAGAAGTCGGCATTATCCTAAACGGCTCACACGAATATTCGAAGATTTCATAAGATGATACCATGTTTCAATCTGGCCACGTCTTACCACTTAACAATCTGAACTTAATCCAACTAACATTGCATGATGGGGCAAACTGTGACTATGCAAGCGTAACACATGTCCCATTCACTTCAGTCAATGCAGGTTCACAGCCTTGTCCTCCTTCCTAGAACCCTAAGTCTGACTTCTACATTACTGACTTGGTGACACCATGACATACGGAATGTGCTGCGAAGGCGACAGTGGTTGAACACATGAAGCCTGCTCATCTCCCCTACCTTTAATAGCCATACCTCACAGCCATATAGTAGAACAGACCGAACTCCAGCACAGTACATTCGACCCTTAATAAAAAATCGGATATCACGGCGGCACCATAAATGGTGTAAGTTGGCGAAAGCCAAGCAAGCCTTTTGTATCCGTACAGAGTTTTCATCAGCCATTGACACCCAAGGGCTGATCCGACTTCCCGTATAAATGAAGTGACCAACGTGCTCAACCATTTCATTCCCTACTGTTAGACAAGGCCACAACGAAGACTAGTTACGCAGTAATTATCTGCAGTTGGGTGGTGAGAAACGTATCCCAAACATTATCAAATTGCCACTTAATATGTCAAGAAGACTATATATCTTGTAAGCGTTTTTACAGGACTGCCATCTGTATACTCTAGATCTTTCACGTATTCCCCTGTGATAAGATCAATCTCTGCAGTGTCAGACAATGAGGGGCGAACCTCTACAAGGATATTTACAACAAAGCTGAATAAAAATGGAGAGAGTGAACATCCTTAACGTATCCCATTCAACGTACACAAATCACCTGACAACTCATCACACGCTCTAACACGCTCAAGCATGTTCGAGTAATATACTTACTCGGTACCCCTTCCAGTGAGAAACGTGGCCATAAAACATCTCCACCGATGGAGTCAAATACTGTCTTCTGGTCGAGAAATACAAGCTAGTGTCGGGTGTCCGGTAAATGTGCCTACGGTTCAGAACCTGATGAAGAGCAAATATTTGGTTCATACACCTACTACCAGGTCTGAAACCTGCCTAGTTCTCTCACGCTTTTTGTTTCCTGGCCCCACTAACACGTCTCATAATTATAAGAACTAGAATCTTAGACACTATGTTCGTCCAACTGACACCTTTATGGAGACCAAAAGGGGATTTCTCCTCCTAATTGAAGACTTAGACAAATAGTGATTTTTAAAAGTCAGAGCGGACCTTTTCTGACTCCCATAAGCTAGCTGACACTTCACTTTACCTGACCAATAACCCACGAGTATCGTTCTCCAGTATAAGTCCTCTGACCCCGCTGCCCTTCTTTTCAGATTACTTACAACTCGCTCGACTTCTTCAAGTGTTGCAGTCCATATCTTAATGTTCCACTCACTATCCGACTGGAAAGAACCCAACGCGACAGTAGCTGGAGGCCAACTAAGCTACAAATAGAAGTATTCCACTTATCATTCCAGTCGTCTCCCCTGAGAGCGAATTCCAGACCCATACTTCTCAACTAGACACAGTAATCATTGCATTTCCGTCTGAGCTCCCTCAATAGTTCTAACTGTGCCCTGTTATTTATTGCCACTGCGTTTCTCATTTGTTTAGCCTTCACTATCAACCACTACTAGCGGTTATTGCGTAAAATTATTATTAATCTTCATTTGAGTTGCTTAAGCTTCTTATGGTGCTCGGACTCTGCAGGACTGCGTTTACACATCCATTATTCAGAAGAATTTGCTGAGATCCACTGACATTTTATAACCTTATTCTAAGAGTCAGAAAGAGTCTGTAATGCTGCTTTTACAGAAGACAGGAAGCAGTACTAGACCATTTCTGCATGAGTGATATTTCCCGGCTCCAATAACTGTGTGTCCAGTTTGTCGTTGAAACCAGTCTTGGCACACTCATTATGGGGCAATGCTCAAAATGATTTTGTTGCTGAAGTTCCCCGAAACTAGTCAAGGTGGAAATATACGCTTGGTCGCTGTCTAAACGTGCCCAAGGGGGAAAGACACTCTTCCGACGACTCTGTACTGTTAGCCGACAGTAATATCGTCTACCTCTATCCACTGCTGAGTTGGGGTG